GTCTAAATCAAAAGTTTTACCCATACCGGTAATTGAAATGTCTGATTAACAACAGCCATAGCTACATATGCAGTTATCACAACGATTTCACGTGCTCACAAATGCAGCGCAGCGCTACAAAATTTGTACAGCCATGTCTCGTCCCTAATTCAGTGGCACTTCAGTGTATTTCACAATGACGGAATGATACAGCTGTAGGCTTTCTACATGCTATAGGGTTACGTTCGCCTCGAGATAGACAGTGTTCACTTGCCGGATTATTTTTGCTCATTAAATTGTTCCAAAAAATGGCTGAAATTTGTGAAATCGTTCCGTCTCAAAAAAGAAACAATAAAATTAATGCACGTGGTTATTTAATGGTGAAATATAAGAATCGCTACTATTTGTATTATTGGCGTTGTGAAAAAAGAAAATATGATATGTGCAAAGGTCGAATAACAACAATGTTTTTGAATCTCCGTAAATTTACTGAGCATAACCATGCTCCACAAGCGAGTGCAGCTGCTATCGCAAAATGTGTTGGCCATTTAACCCGTTTATGCTCAAGTTTTTTGGCAATTTTATTCATTATTAATGAACTTATATCGCTCAATATGTAAGGTTTAAAATACGATTTAGGAGTCAAATTGATCACGATTGCCATATTTGCTGCATAAATGAATGTCCCATTTATGGGTCACTGGGCATACGTGTAAGCAAAATACGTGTAAGCAAAATAAGCTGTATTCGTATTTGAAACTTTCAGTGTTGCAAATCATTAACAATTAGTAGTGGTTTTATATAAATAAACTCGATTCATTTATTCAAAGCAATGGTAATTTTAAGAACATTTTATCATTTTATGTATTATAAACAATGGAAATGTAAAAAAAAATTAAAAACAATTATTTTTTCATGAATTGTTGAATGCATTTATCATGCAGTCCAATGTTATATTTTTCCGATTTTCTTGTGGTATTACCTAGACACCCACCACATCGCTGTTGTATTTCACTTACAAGAATTGTGCGGCTAATTTAGACAAATGAAATTTCATTCATCACACGCTTACTCATCTTTGTTGAAGGGATTATTACTCCAGGTTTGGGAAGCACTCCAGATGGTTTGAGATAGTTGTGTGAAATGTTGCCGAAAGATTCTAGTTGGTCCACTGCGTCTTGTTCCTTGCAAAACATGCGATAGAGAAGCCAGGCATTTTGAATTGAATGCATCTGTATTTGAAACTTTAACATCAATTAAAACATGTCATTAAACATGGCAAACATGGTATTAAAAACATCAATCAAAAAGCATGGAAAGTGAAAACCACCATTTCTTTCCACAGAATTATCGAAGTATTATCGTCCATTCGATCTGTACCTCCCATGAACTTGTTGTATGTCATAATTACACGCGGCTGAGGCACTGCGATCTTCTGTTTTCTCAGATGCCAACCAGCATTTTGCTGAACCTAATGGATTGACTCCAGCATAGTTTGAAACTGTTGTCTTTCCAATGTGCAAATAATTACACCAGATGGCATATCTTTTCGGCGATAGCACCTCCTTCTTTTTTTCCTCAGATTTTTAACCGTTTGAACCATATAGTTTCCAATCCTGTTTTCTTTGGCTGTACCTACAACCGCAAATCCAAAATTTGACAACTGCTTTATGGTAGTAAAGTAATTGTCTATTGCTGTTGTAAATAGATATTTTGATATTTGCTGCATTTAAGGTTAAGTATCTGAAATAACTGATCGAAGTTTTCCAGTAGCTAGCAATTAGAATTTTTTGTATACACAAACTAATATAAATCATATTTTCTTTTCAATAATATGCGTAATCTGAAAAGAAAATTACATTTCAAAAAATTTCAAAATTACATTTCAAGAAAATTTATTTTTTGACAATTTTACGAATATATTTTTTGTACACATAAATAAATTTTAGCAAATATTGTAGACATTAAGTATTTTGTATACAGTAATAGTAATAAGAGAGTACATTTTGAAGTATTATTGCCTAAAGCATGCATATTTCGAATATAAACGTGTTTAGGTAGTAGGATTCCCCCACTGTGTAATTCTAAGTTACAGTTGAATGTGAAGAATCTTAAGAACTAGTAAGCGAATAATCGCTTGAGTTCGTGAGGTAGAAAACAAGTAAGAAGGGTGAAATAACCCTTTATTATTTCAACTAAAGTTAACAGAACTCCGTGTTGGAGTTGTATAATAAAGCCGACACTGGGGCATGCACTTAAGAGACTAAACTAATCTTAACTAAAGAGATATAGCCGAAGCTATAAAGATTCTAACAGAGTAACCCTTAACGCTAATTGACTGCGAAGCTATCAAGGGCCAAAAGTACGGCCGAGCTTAATAACAGTTTACTAAAGAGTAGCCTAAAAAGGCGGGCGCGTGCTAGCCAGAATATCTGCTATCTCTCTCTAAGACAGTAGAACTTCGCGGTTATATACCGCTCTTCCTTCCGCATTCAGACGGGATTCTAAAACTACGTTCTAGCCGAAAGTGGTAAATTGAAGTTAAGCGATAAGAAAGGAAGTTTAATTCAAAATTTAACTGTTAATAAAATTAACATATGAGTAATGCTTACATCGTTATTGATAAAAGAGTAAAAATTTTAGTCTTAATGCACTCACAAATGCCCAGTGTCACATAAACAGGACACCAATAATTAAACGTAATTACACAAACATGATATTCTTATTTTTGCAAAATAACTTTGAAGAAGTATTTGTGTATCTATTTTAAGCAAATCCTTTTTAATGTTTTTAATTTTATGAATGAAAAGTTTGCAAAAAGTACCAATTTCCTGTGGCTATTCGTGATGTGTCGACGTTGGAATGTTTCCTATAAAAATAACGTGTTCTAAAATAATTTTGATGTGCATCTAGTGGTTCCATCTTTTACTAACAGTAATAACAACCCTTAGGTGTATGAAAGATCGTTTGCTTTGGGTAAACGATATATATACTACAAGATTTCTTACACAATAATTTCCAAGCGTCCCATATTTTAGCCACTGGGTACAAATGGGTTAAAGAAGATGTTCGGCGTACCAGAAATCAGCCATGCCAGATAATTCAAAGCAACATCGTAAAGACTTCTCAGAACATTTGCCCATACCTTCCATCAAAAGAAGCTCTTTGGAAAAAAAATTAAACGGGTTAGGCAAAACGAAAGGCTATCAGAACCAGAAACATTGAATGAAATTGATATTCCACCTCCTTTAAGAAATACTTTAACTGGTGAAATATTTTTAGTAAGAGATTCTGCAGTTGGAGTATAAGGTATTTCTCCCGCTTTCCTAGCGTGCCTTCGTGGCGTAGTGGTCAGCACACTGAGCCGGTATTTCAGAGGTCCGTGGTTTTATTCTCGGCGAAAGCGAGTGCATATTTTTCCTCTCTCTTGCTTCAAAAAAAATCCTAATGTCTCTACAGGAGATGAGAGAATTCTAATATTTACAACAGTTGAAAAATGTTAAACATTTATCCCAGGCACCTTATTGGATTATGGACGGCACATTTGAAGCAGTGCCCAAAACATTTTATTAGCTATATACAATTCACGCACCTGTTGGTTCTCAAAATTTCAGAATTCTTCCACTAGTATATGCTTTGATGACAAGCAAATCTGAGAAAATTACAAAAGATTATTCCAAGAATTAATTGATTTCGCTGAAGAAAATAATACTAAACTGAGGCCATCTAGAATCTTTAGTGATCTAGAAAAGGCAGCTATAAATGCTTCAAAATCAGAGTTCCCCGACGTTATTATTAGAGCTTATTTTTTCCATCTATGTCAATGTGGTTGGAGAAAAATCCAATCAAATGGATTGGCTTCTCGCTACAGCACAGATGAAAGATTCAGTTTAATGCTTCGTCATTTATTTACATTGACGTTTATACCAGCTGACGAAATTTCAGCAGCATCTCCCTCCACTTGCCACCCGATGCTTAAAAAGTCGTTCAGTGGTTCGAAGACAACTACGTTCGTGGAAGAATGAGGCGCCGTTTGCGGAATGGTATTGCCGTTTGCGTTCTGCCGATGTTCTCACCGGCACTCTGGAGCGTGTTTGATTCCCTACAACTGGGAGCCCCGCGCATTCAAAATGTTGTCCAGGCTTGGCACAGAAGATGGGAGACCTTAATTAGACGAACCGATGTGGCGTTTATAACATCATGTAAGGATTTAAAAAAGAACAGGAGCATGTGGAATACCAAATTGAATGCATTCTTCGCGAAGAACAGCAACCAAAACGTAGGAAGGTAGATGATGACAGAGAGAGGAGATTATGACTGTTGTGGACGATCGTGATAACCGACCTGTGATGGAATATCATCGTGGTATCGCTCACAATGTGTCACCGTAAATATGCCGTTTGCATGTATATAGACTATGTAAGCGTTTTCTTTTTCTTTTTTTTTTTTAATAAAAAGAATTTCATAAATCTTCATTTCAAATTTTAACTATCGTTTCAATTTGTTAAAATTTATTTTAAGTAATGACATGATTTTTATGATTTTGTGATTAAAACTATTAATTAGTAATATGTAATATTTAGTTAAAAATTGCATTTTATTAAGGTAAATTGAGTGTTTGTATTTAGATATTAACTGTCGAGATTTCGGCCCCGTCGGTATTTTGGACAGTCGGTATTTTGACCTTGTCGGGATTTTGGACAGTCGGGATTTTGACCCTGTCGGGATTCTGGACACCTTGTTGGGATCCTGGTCACCCTGTCGGGATTCCGTCTGTCAGGATTCTGGCTTGTTGGGATTTTGGCTGTCGGGATTACGATCCAGACCCAATTTTTTCAAACTTAGAGTGTTACCTATCTTTAGATTCTAACATCTTTTTCTAGAAGCCCATCTTTACTTGTATAAACAATAAATTCCATCTTTACTTGTATAAACAATAAATTTTAATTTATTCTAAAAAGGGGTCACAAAAGAAGAGAAATTATTGCACGAGAGGAAAGTATTATATAATATTAACTTACAGATTTTTTCCTGAGCTTTTCCTCCATCTCCATGAAACAAGGATACTGAAAACAATTAAGATGAAATATTTAATTACAGTAAAAGTAATATATAAATATACAATTATATCCTCCGCATATATACAACGTGCCCCGATACGTCTTTGTGTGACCTTTAATTTTGAGACAGTTAATAGTAATCATTTACTTCCATTTAGAAAAGTACTTCAAATGGTATAAATATTCATATTATGGAATTTGTAAAGTAAAAATTTCCGCTTTTATTTTAATTACAAAATGTAACATTTTATGCAGCTTCCCGACTAATCCTTTAGTACCTTTGTCAAACATTTTCGCTTTACTTTTTATAACGAATAAAAATCTTGCTAAGCATGACTGACTATACGGACTTGTGGGGGCGATATATACGATGTTACATTTCATAGATTTTGCAAAGTGGGTTTTTAAATTTAAAAATACTATAACGTGTACAGCTTCTTTATTTAAAGCATTTTGTAACTGGTAGTAATATCTATAATCAGGGGTTTCAAAAATAAGTACCACCTAAGAGCTGTTAAATATAATGTAATATACGAGTGTGTTGGAACCCTCCTGGCCGATAATAATAGGCCTCATGCTTAACGTAGCCCACCCAACACAGATTAAACTAAAAATACAGTTAAAAGCATCAAATCAAAATTTTAATTCAAAATATAAATCAAACTGTTAAATATATTATATTTCCAAATTGAATTAGTATTGATAAGCTTTTACTTTTAAATAAGTTAGTGGCAAGATTTGAAATCCTGCATTCTTAGGTAGTTTCAAGTACGAAACGCATAATATTTCTCAGATTTCCTAGGTTTTCTATACAATGTCAAATGACAAACCAGCAAAGTTTCAAATTTACCACCGATTTCTAAATTTCTGACTTTTCCTTTACGCATTTTAAATAAAGTAATTTTAATAACGCTCTTTTATCGTTTTTTAAAATAACATTTGTATTACTATAGAATACAACTATTTTAACTAAAGGCCGTATCATGACCTTTTCTCATATTTTACCTAAATAGTATTTATCTTTCTATATAATGTCTAGGCATATTATGCTTCAGAAAAGTATATAACATAAACAAATAATTCTCATATTTCATAGTTTGCCTAAAAATATTTAGGCATTCTACAGAATGCCCGCTTCACATATATTGCAGGTAATAATATTCGTACATTTGACGGGTAAGTAAAATGCGTAAGCTTATATTTATCTAATGAGACAAGGTATTATAACTTAATCTTTAAAATTAATTCAAAGACAGAAATCTCCATTTTATACGCAATTTAGCAAACTCCTGAGAATATGTAGTCTTCCATTATCCTAATAAAGCTTCCATTCTTGTCCGTAAAGAATATTTTTCATCTTCATTCTTCAAATTCCAGTTATGCAATCTGTTCAGTTTAAAACAATTACTACAGCATGTCCACGCTCGATGATGTTAGCGCCCCTACGGGTCAACATCATCCGGAATGCTATGATAGCAAAACCGACCCGTCATTCAATACAGAAATTTTGACATCTATCTTTTAAATGAAAAATAAAATTAAATTAAAAATCCGAAAATTTTATATTACTCCCAAAGAAGCCTTTTTAACGTTTTGTGCATTACCTTTATTTATTAAAGATTATGTTTTTCCCACTTAAACCACATAAAATTAAGTTCAACAACAATATCACAAACTATTTAAGAACAGCATGTCTTTAAAATTTTCAATAGATAGTCTCGCGCAAATAAATAAAGAAAAAAAAATTTTTTTTCCTTTACAATTTTCCCATTGCTCGCTTTGATATTGCAGAGTTTGTTAATCAAAAATTTATTAAAGTTTTACAAACGTTAAATAATTAATAAAAGAAATTCGAAATTCCGGGCGTCTAGGTGCCCACGTTCAGGTGAAGGATTAAGTTATTCAAAATTTGATAGTTCTAGGTACCTTCGTTTTTTCACATTGCAAGAAACATGTATACATTCATGCAGATTCTTCATTATTTTATTTCTTTAAATATAAAACAGGTCGATAATATTTGATTGCAACAATTTAAAAATTTATAGTGAAACTCCACAAAATGCCGTTTTGAGACTAATAGCCCTTCTGGACTATCGCTCCTTTGGGCTAAAAACAACATTATATTATTGCAGAACTCTATATGCTAATTGGATCATTTTATTAGCTTTTGCGTTTGTTTAGACAAACGCAAAAGTTAAAGACAAACGCAAAAGTTTTGTTAAGACATAATCAATATTTAATAGCCTTCTTTCAACTTATTACAGCAAACATAGAATTCAAACTTTCAATAGAACGCTGTGTTTATGTTTGAAGACGTTACGTTACACATACGTTACACTTCACAAAAGACTAAATTGTTCTCTCTTAACCATTCCATTCCATTAACGGAAGACGCGAGCACTGTACCTTTACCATAGGGTGAATCAGTTCAGCACCGCGCCCCCCAAGATCTAGAGCAGCCAAAGAGGCCACATGAGAGCCGCGCACAGAGAGACCAAGCCCAACGCCGGATCCACCCAGGGCAGTTCAACGAACCAAAGGCCCATAGGGGACCCACACCCCGTCGCCCAGGCGTCAGATTTATAAAAGAAATATTTACATGGCCAAACAAGGGCATAGAGAGATACAATTAAGTACATTAATAATATATCAAGGATTGTACAAATTTAACAATAAGAGGGTAAAGATTACAAGATTACAAGATAAAGCAAGTTACAGGAAAATGAGTACAGAACACAGAGGGCGTGTTATAAGTTAAGGGCATCACGATAAGACAGAAGCCTATTACTGGTTAATGACATCACAATAATACTAAATCTGAATCAAAATTAAATACATTAAATAGGCCAGAGTACATTAGGGAGGATAAAGTAATGGCATGGGTACATAACAAATACAAATCAAAGATATGAGTGCATGTGAGTAATAGAAATATGAGTAAGTATAAGGGCAGTACACTATAAATGCGTTACCAATTCAGTATAGAACAATATTTTATTCTTTTAGAGAATTTATTTTTAAATTATTGCTAAATTTTACGAAATCATTTTATAGTTTTTGCGGCCTACCATATTCATCCGATCTGGCTCTGGGTAATAACTTCTTTCTTTACCCTGTTTGATGGCGGGAGTAAAGACACTCAGAAAAACCCTTTCTTCTAATTAGACGCGAAAAGAGTATTAATAATTTCTGGAAAGGAATAATTCTTCAAATCTCGAAAACAACAAATATTTGTAAAGCTTTGAAATCTAGAAGTTTAAAAAAAGGATTTCACCACGTAATTATAGTTGACGTTAGCTGCATTGGAAACGTGTCACGTTAAACCGAAACTTTTATAATATTCTGTATCCACATAAACTAAATTCGAATTAGATTTCCCATTTAAAAATGCTTAAGAATTTAAAATTTTTTTCGTATTATTGATCGAGATTTTGTGTAGTTCTAATGCTCCAGTTCGATAGGCATTGATAATTTCTGCAAAACATAGTTATTGTTTCCAAAAGGAAGTTAGAGAAAAGAAAAACACTAAAAATTTTAAGCTAATGAGTCAAACCTGTAAATTCTGAGCAGATTTCTAGTTTGCCCCCCAGACGGTATTGTGGGTAGAGAAGTCGACTTCGATATCAAAGGGCCCGGGTTCGAATCTCGGAAGTCATGATTGTAACTGTCCGTTCCTTCACTAGGAGGCAAATGTGACCCATCTATTAGCTGCCTGCATAATAAAGTTGACCACCACTTTTGACCTTAGTTGTAGCCAATCCAAAGTCGGCTGAGAGACTAGCATTGGGGAAGATTCTTAGTTTTATTTAGAAAAATATATGCAGCTTGCAGAAGTTAAAATACTCAAAGCGAATCGGAGACCCTTTTCCCCATCAAAGGTCTCTTGGAATTTTAAGAAAGCGAATTGGCCTCTCTTTACTGAATTGACAGAACATGGCCATAATCATGAGAAACCTTACTTTAAACCCTAATAAAGTTTATAGAATTATCAAGGATACAATGATATCTTGTGCTAAAAAGTCCATCCCTAAAGGAAGGCAAAAGAAATATAAATACTTCTGGACAGATGAACTTTCCTTGAAAGCTAAGAGAGACAGAGAAGGCAAGTTGAAAGGCAGAGTTGATCTCCCGACTCTACGATGTTCAGGCTTGGAGAAAACAATCTGCATACATTGGAAAGGCCCTTATTGCCAGTAAACGATCCTCATTTAATGAATTTATTTAAAAAATAAATTACCAAACTGATAGTAAAAGAGCGTTTAAATTTGTAGACAACCTAATGAATGATCCTGCTAGCTCACCTAAACAAACCTTCATAGTTAAAGATAAAAAAACTTTCTTCGGATTCTTCTGTAGCGAATGCTTTTGCACAGCATTTCTGTAGAGCTAATAAGAAAAACACTTACTCAAAAATACATTCGTCCAGAATTAAACAAAAAACTACACTCTTGCAATCGGAATTTGAATCTTTTACTGATTCAGTTTTCGAGGCACCCATTACTCGAGACGAATTGACCTATACTTTGAGAACCTTTCCTTGTGGAAAATCACCTGGTGGAGATAGAATTCATTCTGAGTTTCTCCACCATTTTGGTCTTAAAGCATTTGAGACTGTTTGAATCTTTTTCAATCTAATTTGGAACACTGGTATTGTACCAGCTGAATGGCGAACTTCAATCATTATTCCCATACATAAGAAAGACAAAGATCAGGATAGTCTCCGTAACTATAGACCAATATCGCTTATTAGTGTTATGGGGAAGGCTATGGAGAAAATAATTGTGAGAAGATTAATTATTACTTTACTTAATTATTACTTAGACACTTGCGGACTTCTTGATGAGAAGCAGGCGAGGTTTAGAAGCTCCAGATCTACTAACTAACATGTTGCCCTCCTGAGTCAATGTGTCAAGGACGCCCTGGATAATAGACAGGTCCTAACCGCAGGTTTTGACCTCAAGTCTGCCTACAACAAAATATGACGGGAGTGTCTCCTACTGAAACTG